ATTAGTCCTAATTTTCTTCAGAGCTAAAGCAAATGTCTCGATAATCCAATTAAATGATGACAGACTGTCTTTCTTTAACGCAATCAGAACTAAGTACGTGGATATTGGGAACCTTTGTACATTAGCTTAGTCCAGAGCCAAATTCTAAAAGTTGGAATATCTTACTTATCAACTAAACTACTAAATAAAATGGAATGCTACATAATTGCATACATACATTATTTAGTAGCGCTCAAAAACCCTTACTCGACAGTAGTTATATTATTATATTGTTTGTTTTCCATTTAAAGGCACCATTCGCAAAGCTTCCCTTACAACCGTCAAGCAAGTCTTCATCTTTGACTCGCACTGCAACGCAATAAACCACTACAATATAACGATATAAACCGACCACATAACAGTTACGTATATTACGAGCTATCGTGACATAAATGTAATTTCTTATGTAAAACCGAGTTAACGAAAGGACCAATAGCGAGCCGACGCAGAGGGCCGGTTGAACTGTATCATTCGCTCACGTTTTGAAGGGATATTTGTGAGACGGTTATTCGCGGCGGCGTCGTCGAAGGGACCAATTGAAAAGCGGCGAGCACGTGCCGCCGTTCGTTGGGCGGCGCGTGCGCATGTGGGGCGACTGCGTATAATGCGTGCTCAGTGCGTAACTGTCGCTGCGTTTGTTTACATCTTGCGGTAACTGTAAACTCGATTGACGCGGGTTTTTGTGGCGCGCGTGTACAGTGATGAGTAGAATGAGGGATTCACTTAAAGTTAAACTGCCGGCATTTTACTTCTTTTTGTTTAGGTAAATCATAAGTTCGGAGACACATGTTCGAAGTGAAATCAAAACAACAGGTTTTATTTTGGCGGTAGTAAGACAGTTGTGTAAGCTACTTAATTATTCGTTTGCTTGGCGTGAAAACAAATTTACTAAATAAACTTGCTCATACAAGACGTCGACCTTGTTTTCAGAATTTTAAAATTAAAATTCAATTTTATAGCGCCTTTTGTCAGTGTCTTTTATTTATTTGTCCAAAAGACTAGAATTCTGATATCATATACTACTCGTAAGTTGTTTAAAGTATCACCGAAAAGCCGCAAACGTCTTCATTAAGTTGTATTTAAAACCTGTTTATTAATAATTCTCACTCTTCCGTCGGCGTTAATTAATTTTCGGTTCGGTTCAATATTTCGACAGACTTCAGACGTTTCAATGATAATTGGAAATGAATATACAAAAGCGATAGCCAAGTTTTAATCAGCTATTATTTTAATTGCGCGGATTTAAAACTGGTAAAAACCTATAACAGTAAGAACAATAGAAAAGGTAATATCAGAAGTTTACCCGAGTAGTATCTGTACATATGTATATTAAACCTTTTAACCACTTAAGATGCGAAATTATTTTATTTACGATATTAATAGGTCGTAGTTTAAATACATGTATGTATTTTTTGTTTGAATCGATAAAAGTGAAAATAAAAATTTAACTGAAAAATTATAAATCAATCAAAATTCAAACTTAAAAAGTCGTTTTCTCCGCTTATTGTGCGCAGTGACACCCGACCTATATTTATAAAATTACCTCATTGTAGTTTCGTCACCAATGGAAAGTGAGATTTTCGGAATGCATTTTCATTGAATGCATAATCCGTGACTCGCGTGCTCGTCGCTGTAATGCTTTCATCGACCTTGCTTATGTAACTCGCGCAACACCTTTATCTGCCACTCCATCTCAAGACCCTCCACGTTTACCGTGTCACCGAGTTTTAATAGTATAGTAACATCGAGACTTATGCAATTTCGTGTTACCTATGTAAGTGCTTTGTTGGTCTAATGGTTATTTTTATTTTCTTTTACGACACTAACAGAAGGCCGGGTCAGTCTACATCGTTTGTTGACCTTTCCACCCATTTCCCCTTTTCGCCTTTGCGGAGGATCTCACCTTTTATTCCATTTCCCAAATACGGGTGTCTTAGTTTTGAGTACTAAGGTCTAGTGGTTACTCCATTGCAGAATACGAGACCCCGGATTCGAATTCTGGGTCAGGTCATAATCTATTTAAGAAATTTCTTCAAAGATTAACAGAATCCGTATTTTGTTGTTTGATTAAAACAAAAACGGTCTAGCTTACCTTTGCCAGACCGTCAGACCATGTTACGTTGATACCTTATAAGAATAAGGCGATTATGAATAATTCAGTTAACATACATAAATAATAGTGTGCTGTCTGTCTAATTATAATCTTACAAGAATTCATTAGACCATGACTAATGATCTTCAACGTTTTTGAACATGATCTTATTTTTCGTAGCTTGATACGGTGTATATTATCCAAGGGCAGTGATTTTTCAATCACTAGAAGTCAAAGAATCTTAGGGTCTCGAAAAACGTAAACAATTATTTCTAATGGGAGTAGAGATGGCTGATCGATGTCCTACTTGCCAACAAAATTCGATGGGTCTGTAGTTTACGCGAATATGACACTTTTTAACGGTTTAAAAATCGAAATGTATATAAATTATAAATGAGTTTTGTTCAGTTTTGACTTGACAATAGGGGTATACTATGTCATCAGAACCCCCGTGCTCACGGCTGCTGTAAAGCTTCCGCTACGTTGGGCCGTAGTTAAAATTAATTGTATATAAATTAACTAATACATTTCACGTTTTAAACCTTTAAAAAGTGTGTGATATAAAATTTGGTAGGTTATGTGTGGATATAAAGATTTGGAAGGCTCCATTGAGATGGGGTAGGCCTATTGCTCCCCGTAGACACTTGTCTAGTTCTAATGAGTTGTTTTTCGATCTCGAGAAAATTGGGGAGAGAGCGCTGAGGCGTAGTTTTCCGCGGCTCCGGGCCTTGGTATAGGTCGCGCGGTGTCATCGGCCGCGCAATGTCACCCGGCCATCCGCCCCCCGGCCCCCGCCCGCCGCGTCTGCGTGAATCAACCGCCGACATTCGAATTTGGAACGATTTCCGAATTATGCGAGAGAATGCCTCTCATGCTTACTCGCGAAGTGTTTTCACAAGTGTTTTCATGCTTTACGCACTGTTTGCTAGGTGCACGACTTGCGGGCCAAGTGACCTTCATTTGTTGATGTGAATAAAAGAGTACCGCATAACTTAAGTAGTATCTTAGGTATTCAAAGTAAAGCCTTCAAAAGCCCCAAAACCCCTGTATGACTTAAAATTAAGGCATACTTATAAATAAAAAAGAAAGAGCGCGCTTCTCTTGTATTCCTTCCCCGAATTCGTCGGTTAGCTAAGATGGCCGCGTCTGCTAATTTCCGAAGTCTCGGTCGGGTCCTTTAGTTTTATTCAGCATTCGAATTATACGATCTCGATACCGAGAAACGAAGTCCGATTTGATTTATGTAGAAACTCTTTCGTGTTTCACGCATGCCTCGATAAATCTTATGTAAATGGACAATTACGTGGAGATTGGCATAGGTCGTTTCTAGGCGGCGCGTATTGGCCGTCCGGCGCCGGCGGTTGCCAGTGTTGCTTTCGTCACGTTTTGGACGAAATGGCTACATTAGGTTCAAACACTTTATTTTCACTTTCTTTATTGAAACTAACAGTTGAATCATAAACGATTTTAACAGCTAAATACAACAAGTCTTTTTTCTACAGGTCAATATTCTGGTAATTAAAAGAGAAGGACTTTTTACATAACAATATTCTAAAGTAGGAATTATATATACATACATGGGTATAAAGGACATAAATGAAATCCAGTTTCCCCCTGTGTGACGAGGGGCGAGCACATTTCTGTGTCATTTTCGCTGATCGGTTCTTTTACGGGAAAATAGTTAATCATATTTATGTCCTGTCCGATCGTCCAACAATCTATTGTTTCCATTACAAAAGAGCAATCAGCAGGAAGAAGTTGCTCGTTGGTAATTTTCTCGCGTTTCGCCTATATCTAGCGGGCGACAGAAGGGGGCGCAGCGTTGCCGGTCAGGTGTTTTCGTCTTGTCCGCGTGGTGATATTGGGCGATGTCGGTCGTTGACACCGCGCTATCTGCATTATTCAGCCCCAGCTCAATGTCGGCGCAATGTCGAATCGCTAGAGTTCAGAGACCGCTGTTTGCGCCGCACCGCCCGCTTGCTCTAGCTCGCTATTATCGCGCGATTTCGTCACGAAATTCGGCATAACCTAGCCCAACGCGCTCGGCTATGTTATCTGTGGTCACGGTCTTTACCTTGGAACTTCCCATTTACTATGTTTTAATTGCTACTAGTAAATACACAATGTTAGCTGTTCTTGCTTAGATATAACTATATTTATTAATTACCGAAATAATAAAATACTGTCTGTAGTTTACGCGAGTAGCACACATTTAAATAAAAAACTAATGGCCTCCTCGTGATCATGGCTGCTGCAAAGATTTTCAGCTGCTGCTCTGAAACGTCGAACAGTAGTTATAATAATATCCAAATGAGTTTAACTAATATATATCGCGTTTACAACCGTTTAAGTGTTTTATTTTTAAAATACCTAAATAATCATTATTAAGTTATGGTTATTCTGGTTTTCGTATGAGCATGACTAGGGGTTTGCACGTGAAGTGAAATCTCGTTACCAATAGGGCACATTTCTGTTACTTTTACAGGCAACTACTTGGCCTCACACTCCGGTGCTCTGCCAAGCCGAAACATTCTTTTGTTTCCCCTGTATTCGAATCGATGTCGCGCCCTTAACGCCACACTAGGAAACACATTCAACCATAGCTATAGATGAGTTTGTACGTATGTGTACAAAGACCTTTTTTATTATGCCTCGGTACATCGACGTACTCATAAGACAAAGAGATGATCACAGTGCTAATAATGAACATTATTATTTGCAACACTAACGAGCAGTGCTTCCTATTGCACCTGTCATACCTGTCAGGAAAATTACATATCCAAAGGATTTCACATTTCCTCGGTTAAGCAATCTTAGGAACCAACAAGACCATGAAACGTATCGGCCGTTGGACACGTCCCTGGTCCTAATGTTGGACAAGGAATTATTACATAAGACGTGGCTACAGGCATGTACCGTTCGCCGCGCAGTCGGTCTCTGCGACAGTGGGTCGGACGAACGGCAGCGCGCGGAAACCACGCCACGGTCAAGGCCGCCGTCTAGACGCACCCCTCGCACCCCGCACTCCCCAACCTGCCCACCCCACCCTATCCGTATCTCCCCTCTATTTATTTTTACCTCGACACCCGTCGCCGAATTCGCCTGGGTCTCGCTTTTTTAGGTTCACAGACCTGACCTACGTATAATATAACGCAATACATGGTCTGGTGTTTGAAGTTAGTAGACGCCTCAGTCTACAATATTTAGTATACAATACATAATAATTAAGGAGTTCTATCCTGTTGTACTTATTTATGATATTTGCTCATTCGGTATTAAGTTCGGAAAATGACTGTCAAAAATAAAATACAAGTATTAAACAATCTGCTACAAGTAAAAAATACACAATTAAATTCACCGTCCTAATAAGTTTTATAAATACTAGAGTTATATATGCCGGTATATAAGCATTAATTACATAGATCATATTTTGGATTATAAACCATTATCTACTTCTTACCTGCTACCTTTTTTGGTCTAGACTCGGCCTTCGGGCGATGCAGTACCCCCAATTAAGTATTTGGAGGTTAGGATCTTAGAATTATGATCGAATCACTCATTAATATGCAGTTCAGTGAGGCCAGTCATAAAATCGTTTTATTAGTCAGCATCTCGATGAAGCCATGTTAAAAATACCTCGCGCGGTAGGTGTTGGCTGTTTTTTGCGAGATTCTGTTTGGACAAGAATAACATTCTTCCGCAGAATTTGCATTCTCTGGTCTTTGGCACGCGGCGTTTCTGTCGTCATTTTATGTAGCGTTGTATGTTTGTACGCTAATTGCGTTGAGGTACTAAACTAGATCAATTAACAATGTATCTTCTTTATGGAGAAAATGTTGGTTACATACCAGACGCAAAAGTAGGTCTTCCTTGCAATTTAAATAAGAACCGAGTCTATGTTGGTACAAAAAAATTGTTTAAGCACGTCTCATTTGAAGGACAATAACGAATTGAGTTTTTTCTTTCAAAACTCTTGTTTTTTTTATATTATATTTATTCGATTTAATTTAGATTTCACGAGACGGAGGCCTTCTCTCAAAATACGAAGAGCCTGAAAGTTTGCTTATAGTTTATTTGATGACTGGATTTATATTTGCTTATTCTGTATGGTTTGTCATTTCTTTAAAATTAAAATCCCAGTGAGTTTATTGAATATTAGTATATAGAACTTATGTTGGAGCAGCCTCGCTCCTTCCCGTATTATATTTAAAATATTGACATTTTAGTATATAATTATTTTGATGACAGTTGGTCATTTGTGATTTGTTTCCTAAGTTGTTACAGGTAATTTATACTATTCGAAGCAGACGAGGTGAAATAGTTTAGACAAAAAACACTTGTGCATCACTTATCAGGAACTTATAAATAGTGGAGGAAGCGATTTGTCTCCCAAACGCTTTTAATTTTAATGGCACATTATCTCAAAGATCAAATGCTCGACTCGTTTCTTGCGCTGATTGGTGTAGTCGGCATCGGGCGGTCTGTGAATAGCTAATGTTCCGACCTTGATAGCGGGACCACACGCGATTGATCACTATTTTTTGTCTATCGCTCGCCAATCACATGCAATAACGCTAATGCCTTGAACAGGTCAGGTCTGCAAGATCCAGTTTCAGATCCATGGTTTCATTTCGCTTTCTATTTTATAAGTGACGTAATATTGACGCTCTAGACACTTCGTTTTAATATTTTTCACTTGTTTGCACTATGTAAATGTCGATTAGAAATTGAAAAAAATTTCAACTCTGGTACGACTTGAAAGTGCGTCCACAGCGTACCGTGCAGGTGCACTAACCAATTGAGCTACCGAATCCTGCCTTTGGGTGATCGTGGTCGTTAATTTTTAATTTAAGTACTTATTTTAAATCCAAATTTCGATATTCCTGCTGGTAGAGCAGCACGAATCGTCGTGGTCGCGAGTTCGTGCCCCGTTCGTGTTATATAATTTTTTTTAATCTAAAATTATTTTTTCTTTGATATAAAGCTAACATGAGTCATTTTAATCAAATTCTGAATCTTAATTTCCCTATCTTGTACTAGTCCAATGTCCATAATCTTATACCTATAGTCTCAATTTACAATAATCGTTATTACCTACTGGAAAAAACGTCTGGCGTCCATCGAATATTCAATTTGAAATTAGTTTAAATTTTCATTGCAGTATGTGTGAAAAGAGGTGTTTCTGAATTGCAAATAGGCCTTGTCTTTCGACTGGTTATACCAACCTACTGGTTGTTTGCAGCAAGAATTACTAGATGCTTCTTCCCACATTCTGAATTATTTAACTTGAGTGTCTTATACTTCATATTCTGCTAAGTCAATATAATTTCCCTCGGAGTCTAATTTCGCGTGATATTGAAATTCTCAATTATTTACGCAATACCGGCGAATTGAATCGTGGATTTGCATACATAAACATTGAAATTCAGCGTTTAACATAGGGGCACTATAGCAACGATTACAAAAACAATATTCTCAATTACAATTTTTTGTAATAAGGATACCTAAATCAATTTGTCAAAAGTTGCAGCGTAACAAATTACGACGTGCAAAAAGTATAAAACCTGTCAGTTTGGTAATTACCAATTAGGTTCCCGGAATGCAAGTTTTGGTGTTTTATTGCATGTGTATTTGGTGGTTTTATTTCATAACCTATTCTAATACTATTTATGTTTCTCTGTTTAAAAACTTTACTTAAAATACAGTCTGTTGTATATTTTATTTAATTAATAGAGTGTCTCTTCCTTTTTGAAACTTTGATAAAATTTCTGGAGAATTCAGCTGACACCAAATTATTCGTAACAAATACTTTATTGTTAGTTGTTAGTGCACTTTTCCGATTTTCTAATAATCTTCTGTGAGTTGGAAAAAATATTTAGGTATTGAAGTAAAATAATATCTTTTTAATTTAAAAATCGAAGATAAATTGAAACAATTTTCGATGGCAGAGGCGAGGGCAGGACTTGAAACCAATTGAGCTACCGACTACTACACCTTATCGTCGAATTTTTTCAACTTATTGATACATGGACCTATCGCGCAATGTAATTTCAACCTTAACACTTGCGCATTAAGGTTCAACGCATTATGCTTTGCAGCTTAAGAAATCATTAAAGATGGTAGAGCAACAGCACGGAACGCTGACGATGCCGGTTCAAGTCCTGCCCGAGTCGAAATTTTTTTCAATTTATTTTCGATTTTTAAATTATATAGTGCCTCCATGTGCAATAACATGTAAAAAATTATAAAGTATTTAAATAATATCTTTTATCTAATGACAATGCAACTTGAATAAGTTTCAAAATAAATTAAGATTTATTTAAAAGATTTATCGAAACGATATTTGAAATAAACTTAACCAGACCGAATAGCAGCTTTTAAGAATTATTTTATCAGTTCACAGCAACAATAAGGTATGATAACACATGGAAAAATACAGCAAACACCTTGAAAATGCGAGCTAATCATAATGTTGAGGTAGGTCCGGGATTTTCATAAACAATGCGACGCGGACATTTTTCTATCGGCCATTGCATGTGACGTCACTGCTACGATAAAGATTAGCATTCATTTTTGTAAAAGGAATAAAAATTCCTTGTTTTTTAACACTAGTCCAAGTAAAAACTCTACCCATCTCTTTCTATCCTAGTAGCTGGCGTTTGTTTTGTCTAATATGTAGACAAAAGTTGTAGAATTTATCTGTTTATTTAAAAAAACACCGCGTACCGCGTATAGGCTGAGAAAACTCTAAAGGAAGAACTTTCCAATGTTTACCACTTCTCATGATGTGGACCTCCTCCAAATAACAATTTTTTTTAGAAGACTAGTAGATCTTGGAGATATCTAGCCGTAAGAGCGAAACACATCAGCGTCATTTCGTATAGACATTATCGGCCAGAGCAAAGACGTACCAGCGTTTGGCTGTGCACTGGCATGCAGCAAAAAAGGCGGCCCGGCAGGCGGGCGGCCTTGGATCGAACGAAATCGCGTAAGCATGCGATTTTCGGTGTTGTGGCGCGAATAGATATTCATAATAACAACTGCGCCAGTTCATCGACCGTGCGCCCGTGGAGTCACCTTGGCTGTGCGTAGATAAATGGCAATTCGACTACGTCGTGGCCTCGGGCCTTGGCGGCCGACTTCGCGTCGATAGCACAACGGCGCGCATGTTAGGGTAGGCCTATTGGACCGCTACTGTTCTTCGACTAGATGTAACGGAACAACGTGAACTTGGACTGATTGTATATTTGAAAATATTTGTCACATGTTATTACGCGTGATGGCATATACAATAAAAACATTTTTACATAAAAAAATATTTCACACGGGCGGTACTTGAATCGGAATCCAATGCGTTTCGTGCTGCTGTGTTGCTGCTTTAACCATTGGTTTAACCAATTGATACATGTACCTCTCGCGCATTGTAATTTTATTGTTTTGTGTCATTTTAATTTAAATGATATATTAATATTTAAATTAAGTAATATTGCGTAACGAACAAGTGAATAATTGCTTACTTTTTGTAGTTTTCACGATATACCAAGAAGTTTATTTATAATTGTTTTTTTTAATTAATTTAAACTATTAATATATTTTTGTGCTAAGTTCATCTTAATAAAAATATATAAAGTTTACTCGCGTTTCTTCTATTTTAAATTATATTTCAAAGGTGCGCCTCGTATTATTTCTGAGTTTGGGTACTTATTTAAATATCGCGTATGCAAATGCGGGGCTTAAACATTATTCAACGATGTAAAATCACCCAAAACTCACATTTGGTTACATAAGACAAGGAATCGCAATTCAAATATGGGTCAGGAGGCTTCGGCATATTTTAGATTTGTGATTTCATTAGAAGAGGCGACGGCGGCCATTTTGTTTTCGACTCCAGATACAAATCTATAGTTAAAAGTCGGTCAACTTTTAGTCTACGTCATTTCGTTTGGGTGAAAATGGATCTTGCGAGATACATTAGGCTTCTGTCATTATCAAACAACACTCGGATCACGCAAAGAGAGATAGCTATTATTTTAATAATCTTATTGGTGCAACGGTTGCGTCACGCGAATTTTTATCACAACCCGGCAATGTCATTGGGTCGATGAACCCGCATCCTTGGCTTGTCCAAGATAATAATTTTATTTTCGACTATTCGATAACAAACAACGCATAACACTTCGCATTACTTGATGTATCGATATTATATAGGTTGGTAGGTCAAATTCGGTTTTTTATAATTACTGTCTTTCTTTGAACCTTACTTTATCCCTGCTTCGTTTTGAAATTAAGTTATGTAACTTAATATGCTTAATTTTTATAAGTTTTAGATACAAATCATTTTATGCATAAAATGATATGTCACCATATTATGTAAAGTCACTATGAAACAATTCTGATTTGTCTCGAAACGTCACCCAGGTACTAATTGTATAAAACCAAAAGACGGTGCGTGATAATTTGGTCGTATGTTAAGTGTCTATCGAGAAGTTATTTTAGTCTATCAATTCAAATGGCTAACATTGTCTAAAACACATCCGGTTAAAAACTAGGTATAATAAGAATTAGGGAAAATCTATATTTCTAAATAGGTTTGAATTTATGTCACGAACCTATAATAAAAAAGGAAACTAAGTCTTAAGTCATGGTATCCTAACATAAGGCGCGCTAGGACTTTGATGGAAGTGTTCCCAGGGCTTCCTCGAAAGCACTGTAAAGGGATAGTGGTATGTTTGTCTCTGACGTGGCCGTGCTACAGTTAAAAAGGCTTTAATTCTTTTTGTATTTGGACCAGAACACGGCTGGAGCATCTCTATGGTATGAAAACCAATTTATAGCATCCCATTTATAAGCTAAAACCCTCCTCCAAAAAGAGATATAGACAATGGATTTGAAAATATTCAATGATTGCAGGTGCAGATGATGTCTGCGGTAAGCGGTGAGCCGATCCTCCGTCGAGTTAAACAAGAGGCTGAGCCCCCACCGCACTTTTCCCCACCAGAACAACAGCCAAGACAGATGCCCCTGATGCAGGCTTGCGATGTAAGAAATTGTTTATCATTTTAAATACTTTTGATTTGATATACGCAATCCGGATTACAATACCTCTTATATCGATTATCCGAACAATAACCTTGAACGCGATTAAAAACCAAAAGATAATTGGCTCTTTGTTATTTTCCCTAAACGGTTACGTTTTATCCTTTTTTTTAAAGAGGAGGACAAAATACCCCAGCCGTATACCAGCTGAACAAAATGTTTGCTGTGACTTAACTAAACTTATTGGCTTTTTCATCTGTTGGCGGTGATTTGTTTGTGACCCGGATGGAATTTCGATATTCCTACCACTAGTCCAGATTTCTGAAGGAATAAATTGATTAGAAGCATGTTGGACTTGGTGGGGAACGAACTCACGACCCTTTCATATTATAACACTGCTACGAGTATCATTAGGCCAACGATCCCCTCAATACTTACTAGAACACATTACACCAAAATATTTTGACACTGACCTATAAACCCTTACAGTTGGATCTGGAGCCAAAGGAGGAGTTCAAATACTGCGTCTCGCCAGGGACGGGGAGCCTAGTCGGTAACACCAGCCCTGATCAGCAGCACTGCTCGTCCACGACTGCAGCGGCCGCCAGCGGGGCTCGTGATGATGATGCCCCGCGTAGGGTGTGCCTGGTCTGCGGAGACGTGGCTTCGGGATTCCATTACGGCGTTGCCAGCTGTGAGGCGTGCAAGGCGTTCTTCAAGAGGACTATACAGGTGAGGATAGAATTCCAGCATTCAAATAAATACTACTATTGCTTAAGGACTACAGAAATTATATGCAGTTGATGCACTAAAATATTAAGTAATTAATTTAAAGAAATAAACAATAATTTTATTATATAAGTATACAAGTTAGTACCCTTATTTGTACCTCTATATAAGTAATAATCTAAAAATGAAGCAGACTATAGACAGAACCACAGATAGTTAACGCCAGTAGGACGTATTTACGCAACGCGCAATATATTAGTTACATTATTTGCAATTTATTGTAACTACAGCATACGCATCGTGACCACGGCTGGTTCAAAGCATCCTTAACATCGGCCCGTATTAAAAATAAATTGTAAATTAAAGTATATATCGCGTTTTAAACCGTTGTGTTATTTAAAATATTTAAGAATGATCAATTATAGTTTGTTGTCAGCATTATTTCATCTTTAATTGTGCAAAATAGTTTTGGGGGATTCGCCTTTGTAATAAATGTCTAAATTTCCAAAAAAATATATTTCAGGGCAACATAGAGTACACTTGTCCCGCTGCAAATGAGTGTGAGATAAATAAGCGGAGGCGGAAGGCGTGCCAAGCGTGCAGATTCCGCAAGTGTCTGCGCACGGGCATGCTGCGCGAAGGCGTCAGGTTAGACCGTGTAAGAGGAGGCAGACAGAAATATCGTCGGACGGCGGACCCACCAGCTCCTAACCAGCCGAGACCACAACTCGATGATATTAAGGTACTGCGGAGGACTAATATCCTTAAATTTAGGCATTTTTTCTGATTCGGTTGGTAAAATGCCCCTGTAGGGCACGGGTCAAACACATATCTGTGACTGTTTCACGATCGATGTGTAATGGTGATTCCTGCTCGACCGAAATAATCTGTTTCCCTTACATTTGAAAACTGACTTTCAACTTAAAAGTGTGTTGATGTGTTCATTCTAAAATCGATGCTCAATTTGTAAGTTGAATTTTTTCTCTGTTCCAGGTTCTTGAAGCACTAATCTCGTACGAGCCAGAGATGTTGTCGTGCGCAGCTTCACCGACAGTGGTGGCAGATCCCGCTGCGCGTACACTGGCTTTGCTAGCAGTTCTGTATGACAGGGAACTAGTTGGGGTCATTGGGTGGGCTAAACAGATACCTGGATTCACAGAACTCACATTAAATGATCAGGTTAGTTATCCTCTTCTTGATACATTAACGTTTTGTTCTTTCCTATCGAAAAGCAATGTTCCACTTAATTCAAAAATAAAACACGTTTAATGGTTACAAATGCGAAATATATTAGTTAACTAATGTTAATTCAGGGGAAGGGCATGGCTGCTATAAAGCATTACAAACGTTGGAACGTAGTCAAAATAAGGAAACCAAATTAAGTTAAAAAAGTTACAAACTTAAATTTATTTCTTAACTTTAATCTTAGCAGACCTTAGCTTAAATTAAGTCGCCTCTTAATCTAAAAGTTTATTATCTTAAGTTACGCTATAGAGCTTATATTTCTTATCACAGATGCGGTTATTACAAAGCACATGGGCAGAGATGTTAAGCCTGATGTTGGCGTATAGGTCTATGTCTGGAGGTGGTGCTCTGCGCCTGCGCTTCGCCACCGACCTCACTTTGGATGAGCAGCAAGCTCGAGATATTGGCGCATTGGATCTTTTCCAACAGGTATAAAATATTAGTTAGTATTTCCCAACCTATTTTTATGTTGTACTTAACAAAATTTAATATTAAATTATTAATTACAGATTGCGGGCGTAGTACGACGCCTTGAACGTGCGTCTGCGCAGCGTGAAGAGTGCTATTTGTTAAAAGCGCTCGCTCTGGCCAACAGTGAGGCGAGAATCGACGAGCACGCCGCACTCAGACGGTTCCGGGATACAATTTTGGCAGCGCTTAATGACGCTGTATCCGCTTTGAGGTAAGACAACGAAGGTTTTGTATGTCTACCCTCAAACTTTCGAGATACATTTTATAAAAATATACGTGTGTTTAGTATTTATAAATTAATAACCAGAATTTGTTAAATAAAATAACGCACATAATAACAATTACGCTGTACTGGAAAGTTCACGGTTTGAGGATTGACGAGATCGATGTCAGATCCAACGTGTTTCATAATTTTTCTCAAACATGTAAGACTTCGTCTGGAGATCTGGACATTGAATTGGTTGTAGAAGTATCGAAATTCCGTCCGAGTCAACCACCGTCTACAGATGAAAAGTCTGTGAAGTTAATTCGCTTTCGTTTTCAGTCTGTAGATTTTTATAGGTCGACAGCACATCTTGTTGAGATGTTATATAGCTGAGGTCTTTCAACTTTAATCAAGTGAACCTCTCGCTTGTCTGTCCTCCTCCTTCGTAAATACAAATTAATTGCAAAATACTATTTCGTTGGTTACAGGCCATGCGATGCAAATGGAGCACTTCAACAATTACTATTAGTGTTGCCAGCGTTACGACTAGCAGACGTTGCGGTGCGCCGCTTCTGGACTGGGGTGCATCGCGATCGACGTGCGCCCATGAACAAACTCTTCGTTGAAATGCTTGAAGCGTGTCTGCGGTAAGCGACCATAGTGGGCGGGAAAACCGACGACAGTTATGACGACGATAGTTTTGGTTAAAAGAAATGTTCTATTCGACAGAATATTAGAAGAAAGTTGAAGCGCTGTGATCGAGAGATAAGGTTTACGGTTATTGAGGGTAGTTGTAATATCGTCGGTGATTGCTCCCGCCATCAAGCGATTGAGGGTGGTATTACTGTTTTACCCATTTTTGACGAAAAATAAATGCAATATTTTACTTTCTTATCATGATTGTATTACTGTATGGATATACTATTATTTGACCAAGAGCGGTTTGATTCACTGAGTATTAATTGTTGTGTCAATTGTTTGACTATTTGACTTTTTTGTTATAATTACTTGTTATTCAAAGGACAGTGGTACGCGCCCATAATATAAGGTTGTAAGTGGTATTGAAGCTTCTGTATATATTCTTTCTATGTTCTGCGGAGATGCGATATATACGTGTTATTTCATTTACTGGTATTCAATAAGTTTATAAGTATGCACAAATTACATTTTCACTTCGTGCGTTTAATTAATCGTCTGCTAAATGTAGATTATTTAATTAAAGCATTTTAAACGGTTTAAATCGTGAAATGATTAGAAATTTGAGTTAAAATAATTTGTGTAAAGAAACTCGTTTTTTTTCTTAAATATAATTAAAAAATGATCGTTACGAGTGAGAAATGTTTACGGACTTGTCGGTCTGATATTATGGCTGTGATGAGATGATCGTAGGAGAAGCATTAACTTAATCTTCGGAGGAAATTTTTACTAGAGCATAAAATGTACAAAATAGTGGATTTTACAGTGTTGTAATCCGCCTGGACTCATAACGATTATGCATTTTAGAAATGTAATAATAATAATGTAATGTACTAGCCTATTATAGGTTATTTTCCAAATATAAGTGATGAGCTATTTCTATCCCACTTCTGAAGATAAGTTTTTGCCACAAACGCAAGTATCGCGTCTCCGCCCCTCTTAATGTACAAAATGAACGGATCTAGTACAAAACTTGTTACTATTTTTGTATAATATTAAAAATATACGTAGTTTTTACTGTGCGATGAGGTTATGAGATTAGATGTGGTAAGAATCCGGTGTTACTAGTTATTAATTGTTATTGCTTTTCTCCGTAATCGTTTTAGTTTTGCGTATCTTCGGTCGGTTTTGTATGTGGCTTAATTCAGAAAAGAACTTTGTGTAACGTGGACCTCGGCATACGACAAATCATAAAAGTGAAGATAATTATATTTAGAAATATATTTTTCACAGATAATAACTTCATCCAATAAATATTTATTTCTATAGATAAATATTAAAAAATATGACGTATTTATATGATAATAATAATTGTTATTTTTATACATATCATGATTTTGACCCACAAAAGTTTCTCTAATGAATTAAGTCGTTATAAGCATTTATCTCGACTCGATTGGGACACAAGAACGGAGCGTGTTTCGGTCGGTTTCTATAAATTTGTATGACATATATCACCAAGTGAGTAGTCTGTAACGTAAAAGATTTATTTAAAGAATAACCTATTTATACAGCTGTTCCACGTAGATGTTTATATATTTCCACTTGATAGAATATTTTATGCAATAATGAGTGTTTCACAAATATCTAGATATCATATGAATGTATATAAATATATTATTGACGTATTTTATCGACAAGTGGAACAGTATTATAGCGAATGAATACCTCAGTTGTCTGTTACCAATAAACAAGTGTCATTTTTACTAACCGCGGAATGCTGAATTATGATCTGAGTTTCGCTTTATTTTATTGGGTGTGTCAAGCATATCGCCATCTAGCGTGCGTTTCGAGAACTGGTTTTGTGTTGACATTGTTCTACTTAATGTGTACTTTGTTTCTTAGAGCGTAAAGGTGCTTTTACATCGACTGATTTCCTTGAGTTTAGTGAGGCTCGTTGGGAGAATTTTCAAGTATGATGTAAACGCAGCTTTTCAAAAACCGTGAAAACATAGTTGTTACGGTTATTTCCAGTGAGCTATTGAAGCGTCCTCTTAGTTATTCTTATGTTAAGAATATTTGATATATTTATAGTCAGTAAAGAGCTCTTTGCTGGTGCGACGTAGGCGGGTGTGATATTTGTACAAATTGCGAGATGTGCCAGAGTAGCTTTTAGGTGTTTTTCTCTATTTAATCTGTGGTCGGTATAATGTATTTAGGTACCTACCTTTTCTTTTTTATAATTTTACAACGAATCCCGGAGGATTACAGATTAAATAGAATATTTCTATTAATAGGCGGACGGGTGTCCGAAAGATTGAAATCGTCTGTTTGTATACAATGTTATTAGGTGGACTGGTCTGGATATAAATGAAATAAATTCTAAAATTATCATTTGTTGTTTTCATTTGATATTACAAAACTAGGTGCGAAATGCCGTACAATTATGTATAGTTTTTCTAACATAATATATTTTTAAAAGTTATTTGTGAATACAATACAACAAGTAATTTTAGCATGAATTTATTTAACTTGTTTTTAATTTTTAAACTCACCATAATTGTTGTCCAAGATATTTGAACCAAAAAAAATAATAATGGCGTATCCATTACCCGGAATTATAAAAGACAATAAAACGATTTAAAAATAAGTTGTATTTTGGTTGAAAAATAAAAATACTTTATTAATACCTTGAGCTAGACAATAGCGAACTGGTCATAGAGCAGCTCTCTAACTTTGAAATACTCCTCCGAAAGCACGCCCTCGAGTGCGACGCGACCATTATCCAACTGAAATAAGATGTGCATTTAACGTAAACGAATTCGTGGGTGGAGTAGACATCAATCTATATTATCTATACTAATTTATAAAGAGGAAAGATTTGTATTTTTGTATGCAACGGATAAACTCAAAAAGTACTGGACCTATTGGAATAATTCTTTTTTCATTAGAATGCTACATTATCACTGAGTAACATAGGCTATATTTAGTACTTGATTACTATAGGCATCTATAGAAATTCTTACTAAAACCAACGAAAGGCGTATAAAAATTAGCCGTAAAATGTGTTTCTTCGCATACGCTGCGAAAAGTATTAATGATAGGACAAAAAAATGTTCGACAATATTGTAGAACATATCAATATGTACAAAAACATCGCGAGAGCATAACTATTGTAGTTACGTCGCTATAACTACTTTTTTACATTTAACAAATTAATAGCTATGCCGATCAAAATCAGACCGTGTTAGCCGTACCATTTATACATTTTATCCAAATAAATAATTTAATATTGAAGACTGTCTCAATACCTGATGATTACTTTTTTAATTATTGAAACACATTCCATTCAAAAGATATGCCGCGCATCGAGTAACTAACTCGACGAAAGGGGCAGTGGGCTCCTTACTAATATATATATATATATATATATATATATATATATATATATATATATATATATATATATATATATACTTATTTTTTTTATATATATAATATAATACTCGTTTTAACATTTTTATGCTTCACTTAAAAAGTTATTTTCAAAGCTACTTAGTATTAGGAATCACACTTCTGCATAATGTTTGTCAAAGTTCTTTTCAGAACTATCGCTTTGAACTTGAATATTTTCTTTTGTATTATTATTAGTTTATTCTTAATTTCTTTGATTTAAAATAAATATCCTTCATAGCACTATGCCTAGAAGAAGAATTTCTATTGGAGAGTCTTCTCCCTAAAATGATCGTTTGGAAAGTATTAGAGTGTACGCGTCCCAATCGCGAGCCAGAGAATCTATCGTCGAATGTTCAGGTTCTTCTTGCAGAACAAAATACAAGATCGTCTCGGCGACTTGAAGGAAATAGAGCTAGGAAATCGGGAACGCGTGCACGGGACACTAACACTGAACGCTCGCAGCGGCTCCTGAACCAGCGAGATTAATAGACTGGACGCGCAATACATTTTTTTTCTAATTTAGTGATTCATGGTCGTTTTAATCATCATGCTTCTAATTTAAATATTTGTACTTATATGTACCCGTATTATGTGTACCCGTGCGAAGCCGGGACAGGGCCGCCAGTTTATTAATAAAACAATGCACGCGATTCAAACCCAGGATATCTTGTGCTCGTGTTGAGTAAATTTTGTGGCTATGTTTTTTCAAAGTAAATATTACAAATAAAATCCAAAACAATATGACTATGGTATGCACCCGATTTTGCACACCTGCCCTTTTCCACCAAGTCGCATTCCTACATCCAAATACACGTCTTAATTTCATATTTAAGTCCAATTCCAATATCAAAAACGGACGTTCGTGCACGAAACAATATTTATATTTTAACCTATATTCTTAAAGGTCGTGTAACAGTACCCGATACACAGACATAGGCGGATCATCAAAAGTTCAGGATGGGTATAAGGAAGACGTTAAGGGCACCCCCCTTAACGTCTTCCTTCCTTATAGTTTAAAATTGGCTGGAAAACATGATTACACATAGAGATAGAGAGAGATGGAGGATGCTGTTACCTAATCGAGGCCTAAACCGAAAAAAAAAAATGTGTTTTTAATTTTAAAGGCGTAGAAAAAATAAAGCTTCGGTTATTAATTATTAGTATAGTAATATTTCACCTACCCTCCGAATAGCTATTGTTCCGTTGCAGCACTCCAACGCCCCAGAATTGAACTCCGCGTTGAGACCGTGCTTCGCCAGGGCGCTACGGAGTTCAGACAGTTTCAAGGAATTGATGAATGTGGCTGCGTGGCCGACGCCATTGGCCTGACTTGCCTCCAACGCCACCATGTCATCGAGGACTGTTTCTTCTGTAAATATATAGGAGTATATTAATAAATCTGACCTGGCGTCTTTTGTAATATAAAGTATTGGGACGATATAATAATGTCAATAACTCATAAAACGGTTATTGACTATGAATTTTGATAAGTTAATTTTAAAAGGGAAATAATCACCCCCATTCATTTTTTCCCCTGCGACCACGACTGCTGCAAAGCATCCGACACGACCGGACCGTATTTAAAATAATTTTAGGTAAAAACTAATAAGTTTAACTAATACACTTCGCGTTTGATTTGGAAATAGCTTTTCTCGCACCACTTGGCAAATCGTGATTCTTACCGCTGTTGGCATCTCTGGCCCTGGGAGGAGCAACTGTGGCCGATAGCCAGGCGAGTTCAGCATCTCCCGCTATCTTCCAAGAAATGCCACACATCAGACCATCCGTTAGTTTCACCTGAAAGGCATCACAAGTTTGCAAAATCTATTTAGATTGAAAAAAATATCACAACCAGGGCGGGACTAGAGCCATCGTTCACAGCGTTCCGTGCTGAGGAGGACAGACAAGCACGGGGTTCAGTTCTTGGAAGGTGAACTTATAATTCGATTAGAAACATATTGGACCCGTTGAGAATCGAACCCACGACCCGATTATTATTATACATGGCTATCGTTGCCTATTGATTGTGACATACCTGGTAAATATGTGATTCTGTTGTAGCATCCACAACATCACCCTTGCCAGGAGTGAAGATCTTCTCGATTCCCTCGTTCTCGCAATGTTTTCTATAAAAAAGCCAAATAGAATTGAATAGTGACAAAAGCGTTATGCATATACAAGAGAAATAAAATTTAAAGAAATCATTTTTGTCCTTAATTGCATTATTGATTATTGATAATTCGAGTTTATTAATTCCATAAGATTAAAAAATATAAAGCCAAACGAATATAATATAAAAAAGATATACGTAAACATTCCGTATTTATAATTCGGTATTTTCGGTTTGTAATAAAGAGAATTAAATTAAATACATGCGTTATACAATGTATTTATAGGCTCGGGAGCAGTCATTTAATAAAATCAGGTCTATATGTAATAATGTATGTAATGTATATAATTAAATAACTCGTTAACGTGAGCTCGGAATCTATTCAAATTAATTATATCGTTCTAGGAGAGTACCGTGCGAGGGTTGAGAGATAACCCCTCCAGTGGCAAGCGAGGTATTTTGTATATCAGTTGGCGAGAGAGAGTTCTCCCAAACAACTGCGACAATGGCGCCGTCATATTCATATATTTTTAGCTTTTCTTGGGGGCAGCAATGGACTTACCGCGTCGAAAACATAGAACTATATATCTTTGGTACGGTACAAATATCTCACCGTAATGTATTTAGTGCGCTAGTCCCCGCCCTCAAACCGACAATGGCGCGCGGCTTCGCGTGTGCAACTACCCTCAACAGCGATTCTCCGTCGCACCTACCCTCTAACTCGATGTACTGAATGTTAGCGCGTATTGCCACTTGGCGGACGGACGAGACACATTTGCTTGGTATTTCTATTATTTCCTCTGGAACAAGCAACAAGAACTGTTTATGTAGCAATATAAATAAACACTTTCAGGACCATGAGATGGCTGAGACTAAATAAATATATGACATAATATTTTAGCTACTTGGTGTAAAGTAAGAGAATGTCACGAGAAAAATATAGCAGGGTGCATAGATTTCCAATATTTGCATACGTTTTATTTTGTCATTTGTTAAAAAACATCAATCCAATAATAATTGGCTAATCGATAACGATTTTTGTAAAAGAAAAAATATCTTCCTAGAGCGTGACAGGGTTAAATTATCGATATTATGACGAGAAATTGTAAATTGTAATATCCTAAATTGTGTTAAAACAGAAAAATGTTGTATCGACGCTGGCCTATGAAGAATGGGCTTGCTGAGTCGTATTTTTGTATGTTCACAAGCATCATAACCACGATTATAACTGTAATCATGCTTATGAAATATAATTTTTCTTTCTCACCTTCTGGTTCCGGTTTCTGCGGTGGGGCGGGGGGAACGTCGCGTATTTCACCCTCCGCGTCCACTATCTCAGCTAATCTATAATCTTCCGGCTTTCAATGAAAATAATTTGACATAATTAATCATTTTCATTTATCAAACAAATATACAAGTCTATAGTTTACGCGAGTAGTACACAATGAAATAAAACACTTTAACGGTTTAAAACGCGATATATTAGTTAAACTTATTTGAAGACTTCCCGTGACTACGGCTGCTGCAAAGCATCCGAAACGTCGGGCCGAAGTTAACAATCATTTTCAAATAAGTTTTACTAATATATCGCGTTTTAAACCGTTAAAGTGTTATATTTAAATATACAAGTATTTATTTCTTCAAGCGCCTCCATAGATCTATGGTTAAAGGTATACCAAGCTTTGCATTAGGCTCAACAGGTCTTGGTTTCGAATCTCGGAAAAATAATTTGATTCGGTCGGGCAGGGCATAGAGGTTTGATAATTGATGATACTTGCCTGATAATTTGGCTAGTAAAACGGACACAGAAATGTGTTTGCGTGCCCCATAGGGGGAAACGGTAATTGATTTTTTATTTTAGTTACCCGTATAATTTCTCCGTAGTCATCCGCCCGCGTGCGGTCTTCGTGGCATGGGTACATGGCGTGATGACGTTTGTTGGACTTGAAACATCCACCCTGCCTATATTCCGAACGCACGGGGATATCGTGTCGCCCCGTCACCACCCACATTTCCAGTTCCCCATCCGATTCTGAGTCTGAGGAAATACCCCCTACTTCTTCTCTGTAAAATTAAGTACAGTAAAAGCTCTTTATTCGCGCTTCCTTTATTCACGTTTTCACTATCCGCGGGAAAAAAAAATGCGACCCAATTCCTATATTCGCGACTAAAAATTTCTTTATTCGCGGATCTAATAAGTACATACATAATAATAAAATTATTCCAATAGATATTCAACCCAATATCCTTGTCAAATGGACTAATAAAAAAGTAAAATAGATCTTATTACAACTTTGCCTAAAGTATGTTGTTAAATGATATCGCCGGACGCCGAGGCTTTTGACAAAAGCCACCTTCGCCACGATCAGTGTTTTTAAGAATGTAAACTAAAAAATAGCAAAATGCATCGCAAACATAAAAGAATCACAGATATCATATTTCACAGATTTCCATCTGTGGACAGTTGTTGTTGACCCAGAAGATTTTCAGTAATTCTGCCCATATATTTTTTCCCGCAATTTTAGATAACATAGAATCATTAGAAATTCGTTGAACCCGGTGGGAATTGAATCCACGACCGATTGGTCATTTTATTACAATGTTACCATTGATCCAACGAGTTTTTCCAACTGCGCTAGCGCTTAAGTAATTTAATTTGCGTTTTTTAATTTAACGTACTTAAAGAAAGCTCAAATCCATACTAATATATAAAACTGAAGAGTTTGTTTATTTCAACAAAGTCGCTGATAGAGCAAGTCAAACCAGTCAAGGACAGTATACTCACTTGACAGGATCCTTGACTTTGGTCCTCTGTTGTTGCATAAACTCTTCTAGTTCAGCGCCCTCTAGCCTAATGCGTCTACGAACTGTAAGCTCTATGGTCCGATCGCCTCCTTTGTCTATGAGATCGCGGGCTAATGTCCCAGGAGATGTCCTGAAGTTGAAAGTAATATTTCTTTTAAATAAATCACTTTAACGGTTTAAAACGCGATATATTAGTTATACTTATTTGAAAATTATTTTTAACTTCGGCCCGACGTTTCGGATGCTTTGCAGCAGTCGTGGTCATGGGGAGACTGATCGGTTTCCCCTGATCTCCCTGTAAGTATAACTAATATGTCGCGTTTATAAACCGTTAAAGTGGTTTATTTAAATGTGTACTACTCGCGTAAACTATAGACAGTAATATTTCTATTATTGCGGGTCACTGCTTTATTTTGCTTAACTTTGGTATAGTTGTGTGTGATGAAAGATAATGTAAAAGGTCGTTCTTTTTACGTCTTTTATTTGAAGAGGAGTTTATAGACGAGCATGGGGTTCCCTTAATAAAAGGTGAAAATACCCCAGTCATATAACATCAGAACGAGTTGCATTGTCAACCTAATAAGGCTTTGGATATGCAGACGTCCATGGACTGTTGTGGACGATCGTTCGTACGGAATTCCGATATCCTACCATGGATTTAATTACAAAATTTCCAGACAAATACCAACATGTTTTAAAAAAATATAAATTGATTGGAAAAAAAAAGTGGAAAAGGCTTTAACGGCCATCGTTCAGCATATCATTGTGTCTCGGGCTGTTCGGCCGACGTGAGCGAAAAGAGGTTCGCCATCACGAGCGGATGGCATCATCAGTAGATGGTAGCTCTTTGATGTTCGAAATATTCTTCGAAACGTGTTGGAGCCGATGGGGTTGAACCCACGATGCGTCTATAGCCTGACGAACGAGCCCATCGAATGTTTCAATTGTAAATAAAGCCTTAAATACTTGCCTCGCAGTCAATACTATCGAGTTCTGCGATTGCGAAGCCCATAATAAGAATAGATCTCTTGCGAATCCCGTTTCAAGGTCTGGGAAGGACGAGAGAACCACCTTAGGTCCTGGGGTCCTGGTGACCTCAGCGACAGAATGACAGAGATGTAAGTACCGCAACGCAAACGGGTTACTGCGGGCGCCTTCAAACGCGCGAGTTAGTTTGTCACTCATCCACTCAATCTGAAATTAACATTAATGCCATCTAGGGTAGTAAGTTTGATTTAAAGTAAAAGTATGAAAAGTAATATTTTTTGCCTACAGTTTTTCACATAATTCTGCTACAAAGAATCTCACTTGTTACGTTTTGTAATTTTAGCAAAGATTATTTATTATTTTTCAGAGATTTTATTATGAGATATAAAATACACACACACAAAAAGCCAAAGAAGAAAGTTTCATTGTCCTAGCTTCAAAAACCACGCATTTCCATACAAACTCATCCCACTTTTAACCCCTTACAACCCCTTTTTCTATATTCTTTCTCAGGGTCTAGACCATCAGTATACCAAATTTCATTTAAATTCATTCAGTGTTTTGGCGTGAAAGAGCAACAGACAGACAGGGTTACGCATTTATAATATTAGTGAGGATTTATAGTACTTTAGTAATAATGCTATTCCAAATATTATTTACCTGTGACTTAGCAAACTCCACAACATTATAACTAACATTAGACAGAAGTAGTAATGAATAAGCCACAAGTCCAGAATCTCTGTTCCTCCAGAGTTGGTCCAACATGTGGGCTAACTCCAAAACCCTACCAGCCGTGTCTGTACAAACTAGAACTGATCCACCGCCTCTTAGTGTTGTTAAAATTGTTGCTGTAGGGAGAAAAATTAGAGTTATAAGTAAAAACTGACTAGTTTTATTACTCAGCAGTATATATTATATTGCTTTGAATTGCCTCATTTCTAGTGGTTTCAAAATATTTTTAAACTTGAAACATTTTTAAAATTGTGTAACTTACTCATAAGTTTTTCATCCCTCAACCTCCTTCTTTGCTGCACATAGTCAGCATTCATAGCTCCTAATAGCAACAATGAAGGTCGCATTATCTTCTCAATCTCACAGCCATTCAAATGCCTTTCCTTCTTATGATTAAAGTCTGGCGCATATACTATGTCTTCCTCCCCAGGGGCTGCTATACGCCAGACTGTTCCACCAAGTAGATGACCAGCTGGCAGGGGTGTTATTTTAAGTCCTAGGCCTTTACCTGGAAGTTTGCATAGTTTTTTAGATGAGTATTATGATAAAAAAGAAATCAATTGACAAACAAAAATCTGCTACAGTTAACTTGTATATTTATAATGGTAGAAATGTTAAAATTTAATACAGAAGTCCTTCAAAAATCAAGCAAATTCAAATGCAAAAAAGTAAGTAAAACTTAAGTAGGTACTATATACAAATAATAGGGATTTACTATGTACCTTTCATATCTACACTCTGATTGTATTTTAATTGTGTTATTCTGTCAAATGCTGTATCTACATCATCCAATGTAAAGAGATCAAAATCAGTCATATTCCGATGTGATTGATATAAGTCATACATGAACATCTGTCCCATTTTGTAGACTGGTAATGTGGCATAAATGGGACAGTTTAAGCCAAGTTGTCCCACTGCATATGGTAGCGCTCCCAAGTGAAGTGGATCAGAGTGAGATAGAAGTACTGCATCTATACTGTTAATATGTCTGGAAGAGTAGAGAAAAAATTACGAGACTTATATTAGGCGTTTATCTCTTTGTAATATGGAAGTTTTCATTTTAATTTTCTATAGCAATGCCAGCTTGAAGTTTTATGTTTACTGAGAAAGATAACCTCAACCCACCGCTTTAACTCCTTTATAAAATCCATGTCGAATTTCTCATCCCATCCGCAGTCCAACAGGAATTTGAATTCGTCAATTTGTAATACATAGCATGGCGGCGTTTCATCCCCAGTTCCAGAGATACAGTGTAATTTTATAATTGAAGTCATTTTCGTTTATAATAAATTAACAGTTATTAAGAAGGCTAGCTGCTTTGCTTATTCATTTATTTTTACTCATATATACAACATTAAGCGTTAATTATTCTTATGCTTGCATGTAAGTAAAACCCTTAAATATTTAAAAGAATTTATCACCAACAAAACAAACCGCAGCCGCGGCTTAAAAATTGTCAATGTCACTTGACAATTGACAGAGGCCAATCCTTGCATATATAACAATATATTTATCAAACATAACAGACTATAGAATTTTTAAGCATTGTTTTCATCATCATAGATTCAAGAAATCTATACTAATATTATAAAGAGGAAAGATTTGTATTTTTGTATGTAACGGATAAACTCAAAAAGTACTGGACCGATTTGAATAATTATTTTTTCATTAGACAGCTACATTATCATTGAGTTAAATAGATTATACTCGGTCCTAGATTACGATAAAAGTCTTTGGAAATTTCTATTAAAGCAACAGGAGTTGTAAAAAAATTAGCCTTAAAATGTCTTTCATCGCATACGCTGCGAAGAGTATTAATGATAGGACAAAAAAATATTCGACATTATTATAGAATATATCAATATCTACAAAAAACATCTTGAGATCATATGTCTAAGTATTGTAGTTACGTCGCTATAACTACTTTTTTACATTTAACAAATTAATAGAAATGCCGATCAAAATCAGACCGTGTATACCATATATAAATTTTAAAATAGATTCATGGTCGTTTTAATTAGCATGCTTATAATTTAAATATTTGTACTTATTTACGTCTACCCGTGCGAAGCCGCGAAAGGGCCGCTAGTATGTTATAAAATAGCTTTCCTTACCTGATAACGATAATATGAATTATGTTAATAGTCAAAAGCATTTAGCAGATAAAAGATGTAATTATAATAGAATTAATATAACATTTACTTATTTTAGACTAGAAGGTATTTGCATAAAAATAGTACTAGGTATAGAGCTAATAATAACGATTCCAATCCAGGTATATAAATCTTTAGAGTCTCTTCTTTCGTAATTTTTTGCTTCTTCACTGGTATTGCTACTGCTTTTCTTAGATTTGACAAATAATTTCGAACTTCCCTCTGAGTCTATGGCGCTAACTTTGCTTCTTACTTTAAGATTATCTTCTTTATTGTAAACGAGTGATATTAGATTAGACTCCAAATTGTCGTTGACTTGGATACCTTGGTTTGTAGATTTGTTATCCATTTTTTTGTACCTTTCTTCTATTCGCGTATCTAGAAGATGAAGACATATTAGCTTTAGTGTAAAGATATTAAAAATTGATAAACATATGTGTATATTTCGTGATATTCGGACTGATTAGACGTGAAACTCTAGGAAGTAATCATACCATTAATTTTCTTTACGAAGAAGTTCATTAGTAAAAGTACGAAGAACACGCTGCAAGCCATCATAAGAAACGCCCACCATTCCAGTCGTGGCTTAAAACAATATTATTATATATAGCTTATTATATTTAAAGCTTATTATTATTTGCTATAACTTTCCTACTAAAGATATATAGAACATTAAAGATAATGTTTAACTAACCATATTGATATCGCAATAGATTCCGAAGGCAATTCTTTATCAAATAATTGCCTGTCAAAGACCTTTCAGACAAGTCAAACTTAAGAGTGGAGATGAAGTTCCGACGTTTGCCATAAGTTTACTTTCAGATTCTGCCAAGGAGATTCATTATTTTTAACCGATATTAAAAGTTAGTGTTGGAAAATCGATCTTGATGAGATATAAAAAAAAGGATCTGTGATTACCCAGGTATAAAAAAGTTGTGTTGAATATAAGGAGAAACAGAATTGTCCAATGTCGCTGTTATAGTTCTTTCCTTATTTGTTGTGGTACCTTTCACAGAATGCTGTTAATAAACATAGGCTGAGGTATTTTAACTACCATTAAGTGAACAAGAAGAAGTACAAGCCTGAGGTTGTCTACTTCTTGTTCACTTGATGGCCATTAAACATCATAAACAGATGTGCTGTCGACTTATTTTGGATTGTTTCCTATACCTTTTGTTGTACCGAGATTCGGCTTTTACCGCGCTTTGCGTCTGCTATAAAATATCTATACAATAGTTTATTGAAAAGCCTTCGTTCTATGCGAGCCAAATGCTAACAGTGAAGGATTTTAAAATTCGCTTTCAAAAATACAGATTCAATTCGCCACATGGGAAATGTGTGTGACAGCATTTTGTTCACTTAGCGATCGGTTCTTTTGTGTGTGACTGGCAGGAGATTGGTGCCATCAAGCGAGGCTTTAGGCCTTTCAATTTTGTCGGTTGGGCTGTAGTAATATTCGACTTGCCAAAAACGTAGATATATAAAAACAACCACTTAGCCAATTGTTCACAACCATGGAAGTTGCTACTGCAGGAAACCCTATATTTGAATATTTGAAGACAGGCATAAACAACGTAACTTTCTTACAAAATAAGGAAAATAAAGTTTATTATAGTCTGTAGTTACACGAGTAGTATACTTACATTAAAAATGAAATACTTTTAAAGGCTTAAGTAATTTTTTATTTATTGTGACAACGGCCCGGCGTAAAACCGTTGAAAGTGTTTTATTTAAATTCCTCTTTTCCCCATGTGGGGCATGGCGTATTTTCTGTTTCCATTTCAGAGATCAGTTTTATTTAAAGACAAGTTTCGATCAAACTTCTGTGCCTTGTTGGACTGAAATAATTAATCGTTTCCTCAAGTTTCGAACCCATGTTCTCTCGTGCTGAACGCAACAAGTTCAACCCCTGAACTACATCACGTCAAAATATATTTTATTTATTATTCTCTTATAATAAACACTTTATTTTAACTTGCATTATTGTAGATTATTTGTAGAAGAGAACAGAGAAGATAGATATTTCGAGGGTCTGTTTTAACTGTTAGGTATAAGAAGTCTATGTATGGTCATGTATATATACTTTGTGTTTGTGTGTGTTGCAATAAAGAATTAAATATGTATTTACTTATATAAAAATAACATAATTCTAATGTAAATGAAAATAAACACATTTATTCCATTCGCTTATTGAAAAAGAATGTTAATACGACCAAATAAGATCGTTACGCCATGAAAGGGGATAACTAGGACTTATTAAATCTTATTACGGATATAATTACATTCTTTTATGTTTATTTGCTTAGTATCGCTTATATTTGTGCTATTGTTCACCCTCATAATAGCATTACTGCTGTTATTATGAGATTTCTGCAAGTAAAAGCTATAATCGTGTATTTTAACGTAATCAAAACATTGTTTACATTACATATATAATAATATAATTAAGTTCCAGTAGGTTTCGCAAGTAGAACATATTCAAATAAACTATTAACGGAATAATACGCGAATAAATAAGTCAATTATAGATTAAAATTGTTATTATCTGTTGTTTGTTTGTTTCGCCAAAAAGTGTAATACGTCTGTTGGAAAGATTGTCATTTCCAAATAAAACGCTTTATCGGTTTAAAACGCGATGTATTAGTTAAATTTATTTGAAAATGATTTTTAACTTCGGCTCGACGTTTGTGGAACAGTGTGGATGCCGCTTCAAATTTTTTAAGATTATTAATTTCAATAATAAATCCTTTCATTAGAGTTTTCAATGAGCACACAGAGTTAAGGGTGAGGTTAAGTGAATCATAAAACTGAAACCGGCCATCGTGTTTATAAAATAATTTGGCATTGTGCCGTCCCCGTTAAGCCCCGCAGCGGGGTCATATGCAAATGTCCATATACGAATTAGGGCCCCATCAATGCGCTATTAATATTTTATGACATGCTAATTACGCGTTTAGATGCGAAATAGTTTGACTGTTACGCGACTAACTCAGTGTGGATTAATTTGTTATATGAATATCCATTACGGAGCGATTGTTGAGTAATGAGGAGCATATTTCGCTAATGAGGCATAAATAGGATGGAGGGGAAAATATCCACGCTGATAGTAACTATTGCGACGATATATAATTTTACAAAGGCTTCATAGGTACCTAAATAGTTGCATAGATAAATAAGCATTGAGATCTGATATCCATCCAAAATCCGTCCGGGCCATGGACAAGTGTACACAGATGAAAAAGCTGTGTGTTTAATCGCGATTCGGTTGCCTGTGGACTTCTGAATATCCAAAGCGAAAAAAGGTGGACAGCACATCTTGTTTAGATGTTATACTGCTGGGATATATCACCTTCCTGTATCATAAAAAAATACTAAAATCCTTTTTCGCTTAATGTATTTTACAAGGCGACCTTCTAGAAGTATTGGATGTTTATTATTTTGAATTATAATAAGGAAATCTTACACCCCTAATATATATATAGTCTGTATTCTATAAGCTTCAATTGGTTACACGTCATTTGAATTTTCATATAAAATATATAGTTTTCTCTTTACTTTCCACCTCTTTTCTTTACTTATGAAAGAGAAAATGTATAGCTATACCAGATGATAAGTGAACGCACATTTATATTTAAACTAAATGCTTTGATGGCTTAAAACGAGAAACGCAATTATTTAAACTGATCTATACTAAGATGAAGAGTTTGTAAACATACAAACAATGTTTGAACGAGATTAACGAATCTCGGGAACTATGTGTTCGAATTGAAAAATTATTATTGTTTTGGTTAGGGCCTTTTTCGAGAAAGGGTATAAAACATCATCCTGTGACCGTCGGCCAAACGTCCGATTAATACAAGCGAAGGTACAGCGAGAAATGTGAAAAAATTGGGACAATTATTCATCATTGTGGGTCTTCGAGGCGTATGCTGCAAAAACGGTTCAGATACCCAAAAAATATGTATGACAGAATGATTTATTTTTAAATGATTTTTAAAAAAAGTCTGCGACGAATTACGGGAAGGGACGCGACTGACGTCGGGGTAACAGCTTAAGTTTATAAAGGGGTTTGCAAAAACGAATTTGGATGCCCAAAATTAGATGCTTCGCAGTGTGGTAAC